TTCACTGACACTGAAACCATCCTGTCAGAATTCAGAAAGACCCGAATAATTCTAACTGGAACTGATGCTGAGTCTGACGACAGCGACACAGAAGAGGAAGCGGCGCGACGTTTACCTCCGGAGGTCGAGGCCGAGTTGTTCAGAAGTGACACTGAGGATGAAGAATTGAATGGATTTAGTGATTTGGAGTGAGATGGAGAGTTTGGTAAACTTGTTCTATTGAAAAATACGGTAATTAAGTTACACAAATTATAATACACAAAATAACAGGAAATCTAGATGAAGAAAACTAGCCAATTTTCTCAGATTTTCCAGATTTATTACCGCTAACACGAGCCCAAAGGAAGGTTTCCAAATGTCTTCTGGTTTTGTGACGTAAGCGTGAATAGAGCACACAGTGTATTTCCGGATACTTTAACAATTATTACAAAAAATAAAGATGTTATATTGTATTTTTATTCATCCAATAATGATGTCTGTGTACTTTAAAGGAGTTCTGACCAAATGTACGACACGATTGCTTGATAAAAGTTATGCAATTTCCAGCCGGTAAGTCACCTTAAAAATAATCAAACTGGGCAACTGTTTACATTTTTAATTGAGTAAAAGCTTAAATATAATGAACTTAAAGTGCCTATGACAGGTTGAAGTACTCATTAAAACACAGTTAAGTAATCGTACTATTAAATTATGGGTGTGTACAAAGTCGAATGGTAGACATTTTTTACGTCGTCATAAACTTTCGCCTTTCTTGCGCAACTGTCGTTTCTGGTTTGGCGTTGGGAAGCTTCGAATTAATTAAAGACACAAGTCAGTCACTTTCCATTGCGCTGAATCACGACACATAGAACCCAGTGAGCTCAGAAAATGAAGCGAGACTGGAGCGACAGGTGCGGGCCGAAGTCGAGAACCATGGGAATTCTGCGTGATTTATTACAGCCGTCAAGTTGAATATAAATGAGCGTTAACGTTGAGAAAAAAAAAGGTTCAAAGTCTCCATTTGCCACCTCGCAGTGTGGATAGAAGTGTAGTAAGTATGGCTGAACGAGCACTAAGAAATTTTGACTTTTCGGGGCATGTTTACAGGTCTTTTTAAAAATATAATAAGAGGATAAATCGTTTTTTGCTGAAGAAATTATGTTAAGTTAAAAGGCCCAAATTATTTTCTAATGTTGTTTCCTCATCACAAACAGAGCTGGAGTTGTGTTTCGTTTCATTCACACACGTTTAACTCACAAACCTGCAGATTTAGGCCGAGTTCTTTTCTCAAAAAAAAACATTCTGTTCCACATTGTGATGTCATGTGGTAATACAGGAAGTGCTCCATTGTGTTTGTAAATTCCACACACCTGCACTAGAATCCAGAGGTGGGACTAAGTTGTCGTTTTGCCAGTCTCAAGTCTTTGACCTCAGGTCTGAGTCAAGTCCCAAGTCAAAGACATGTAAGTCCAAGTCTTTAAACCAAAGTACCAAATATAGCTTTTAATTTTTGCAATTTATATGATTTTGAAACTAAACTGTACTTAAAAAGTCATGGTATATTTATATATGAGTATAGAACAGTGTGTAGAAATGCAGTTTTTTTCCTTTTTAAAAGTCTTGACAAGATCGTCATGTCATTACGTCAGAACAGAAAGTTATTTTGTCATGTAGTTCTATGTAGTTACCTCTGTTTTACTGTATTGTACTGTATATTACTGTAGTACTTTTGAGTATCACAGTACTTCAGTCCCATTCAAAGTACCAAACAGAAGTGGGAGGGACATGTTCCAGTTTGTTTCAGTAAAATTAATCACCACATTTATCAACTGTAAAGAGAAAAGTATTTTCTAAAAGATATTTTTTTTTTTAAGGAGAAGCATCAAGTCTTCTCAAGTCACAGGCCTCAAGTCCGAGTCAAATCCCAAGTCAGTGACCTTCAAGTCCAAGTGGAGTCCCAAGTCTTTGTCCATTTTATCAAGTCAAGTCTCAAGTCCTAAGAATAGTGACTCAAGTCTGACTCGAGTCCAAGTCACAACTTGCAAGTCCACACCTCTGCTAAAATCATTTGGCTGATTTCAGTGCTGGAACTGCCAAATCTCCTCTCAATAAAAAGGAAAATGGGAGCTGTTAACATGAAAACTAACAACTTCATGACATCACAAGGTGCAACTGAGCATTTTGAGCTTTGGAGGTATAGATGGCCAAACGATAAAGAGTTACTCAAACGTGTGAATGAAACAAAAACAACTCCAGGTCTGTTTTTGAAGCGGCAACAACATTATAACCTGGATTAACGCTCACAGGAGTCAGTTTTGCGCAATACAAGACCATTTGCTTTGTTTTCTAATTTGAATAACAATGAGTGTCACAAAAATATGTCTACAATTCAGCATCTTAATTCTCTTTTTGTCATTTGGATACATAAATATAGTTATCACAAAGTGGAACAGAACATTTTGACATGTGTGAATGAAATAAAACACAACTCTAGGTCTGTTTTTGAGGCGGAAACAACATTAAAACACGACTAAAATCTCACAAGAGTATGAACTTTAAACTAATCCAGGTCTCCCACCCCTTTTCAAAACATGTTTGTAGAAGTCCTTTTAAATATAAGAGGATAATTTGTTGTTTGCGGAGGAAATTAAGTTAAATTAACCATTGCAGTCTTTGGTAATTGTGTCCATTGTGATATTTTGCTTCTTGCAACCCTAATAGGACAGATAATAGAGAGTCTAACCTCAGATGAGCCTCAGACTGTGACGCTACTTTTGACAGACGCGTTTGGCAAAGTTTTGTGTGTAATCCGACGCGGCTGGACTCGGTTTCAAAGCTCTAGTCAAATGAATCACGATGCCAACCTGTTGGGACAAGCTGCGCTCTCATCAGTTGGAGGGCGAGCTGGGAGAGATGACTTTGCTCTAATGCGAGTTTGATGTGAATGATGACGGGGCTTTCTCTGTCGCCGGTTCAAAACTCTGGAATAAACCGCCCCTCGATGTGCTCAAACCATCACAGATTTTAACCTTTTAAAACCAGGCTCAAAATGCGTCTATAGATCTATTTCAGAGTTTTGGACATAGGACTTCATTTCTTAGTTATCCAGAGTGTTGGAGATGTGTGGAGACACTTTTTTAAAAAAATTATTAGGTTCTTTTTTTAGACCAAGAGTTAGTGTTCATCCCTGACAGTTTCGACGGCTCACTAGCGCTCTTCCTCAGAGTGGTCACGTGATGTTGCTGTGACGTGTCCGGTCATTCTTTCGTTCAACAGAGCGAGGCGTGCTCCTTTTACTTTTTTTTCTCCGCATTCTGGGTTGGGATGGGATTCTTGAGGTCCAGGCTGAATGGTATCATTTCCTCGTACTGGCAACGTAGGCTGAATCTGAGATGGTTGCCCTTTTTTATTCCAGTTGTTCTCATTTTCGGAATTCCTTGACACATTGTTGTCCATGACTTGAGCGTAATAGTCCAATGAGATTCATTTGGTCTTCCAATATTTTATTTTATTAGGTTCTTTTTTTCAGAGCAAGAGTTTGTTTTCATACCTGACAGTTTCGACTGCTCACACACAGCGCCAAAATCTGTATAAATCAGCTGACCAGACACATCACAGCAACATCACCTGACTCTGAGGAAGAGTGCTAGTGAGCAGTCAAAACTGTCAGGTATGAAAACAAACTCTTGGTCTGAAAAAAGAATCTAATAACATAAATTATCGGAAGACCAAATGAATCTCATTGGACTACTTTTTAAAATATTCCATCCAGTCCTTGTATTTGCAGAGGTCACTGGTGCTAGACTAGTGCATGTCAATGGTCATAGTTCTCCTGCCACTAAAAACAGTCTTATTCACATGGACAGTCTGGTGTAATAATAGATTTTCTTCGGGTGTTTTGTGGAGTGGGTGTCTGTGTTGATAGAATAATTTTAGAAGTAAAACCAACATTGCATTTGAAGGATTTAAGTCTGAGCAGCGGCAGTGAGTTGTACTTCCTGATAGAAAGCTTGGCAGCGGCGGAGTGATATCTGAGAAAATAGTCCCTCAACGTGCGACGATTCATGCGATGCGTAAATAACTGTTATTTGTTGTTTATTTGTCATTATTTGTCTCTAAAACCAGAATGAAAAAACTGTTAACGATTCGTTGTTTTTTTTTTTTTTTCAGTTTTTGATTTGATGTTTAACCCATTGATGCCGGATGCTGCGCAGAGCAGCACTGAGTCCCCTGTCCGGATTGTCTGGCGATCAGCGTAACTGGTAAAGGTGGGGCCACACCTGGAAGCATGGGGGGCGTGTCCTCCTCTCACTTCCATTCACTCCCATAGGAGAGACGCAAAACTGCCAGAGCTGTACTGTCGCATTAAAACTTCTTTATCGTGGCGTATTATTTCTCCATTGAAAAATAATCCAAATGTATCCCCAACATGTTCCCATCAAGACCTGGTTTGAAGTAACAAACGTAACTGCAATGCCAGACTGAACCAGGACTGAACCGGGACTGAACCAGGACTGAACCGGGACTGAACCAGGACTGAACCAGGACTGAACCAGGACTGAACCAGGACTGAACCGGGACTGAACCGGGACTGAACCAGGACTGAACCGGGACTGAACCGGGACTGAACCAGAACCGGGAGGACTGAACCGGGATTAAAACAAGATTGAACCAGTACTGAGTGTCGGGACGGGCCCGGAGGTGCTGTCCTTTTTGCCCAGTTTAGTTACTTTAAATGTTTATCATAAGAAAATGAGCAAGAAATAGGTATTTTTAGTCACTTATGCAACTCTGTGCATGTCAAATCTTATATATATATAAAACAACAAAAATACACCAAGTCTGTAAGAAAATGTTCACATGATACAAACTGAACCAAAAAAATAATGTCCCAGCATTAATATAAAAACAATGAGTCAATATAGTAATTATCATGCAAGGCCTATGGATGGGTCTTATGAAAATTAGTCAATTAGTAGTAGCAGTAATTGGCTGTGTACAAAATTGTTGTTGTTATTTACCTCTTCCTCCTCCTCTTCCTCCATGCTGGGGACCGGGCTCTTGATGGGACTCGATGACTGACTGAAGACTGAGGACTTCCCACTGATGCTCTGCGAAACGATAAAACAGATTACATGAGTCCAAAACAGACATAAAAACTTATTAAGAGACATTATAATATATTTCAGTCTTCAACATCTAAGGCAGTGATCCTCAACCTTTTTTGCACCATGGACAGACAATTATTTTCACGTACCGTCCTTTAAGGTGTGGCAGATAAATACAACAAAATAAAATCAATCAATCAAACAAACTTTATTTGTCTAGCACTTTTCATACATGTAGCACAAAGAGCTTCACATGCAACAGAAAAATGACAATAATTAAAAACAACAGCAGCCCCACCCCAGTGTTTCATCCACATATACAACAATTTAAACAGAACAAAATGACACGACCAACACAAAAACTGTGGTATTTTGTAAATATAATAATAAACATTTCCAAAGTCATCTGGTTTTTACTCATTTTGCAGCTTGTGGGTTTAATATTGTCGTCAATGTATCACATGACCAAGACAAACATCTGGACGTGCGCCAAGACTGAGTCAAAAGGGACTCATAGATCTGGATGTAACGAGAGAATTTGGTCATTTTTCTAAAATAAAACATTGTTCAGACTCAGATAATGAACAAAATGGAAATAATGTGAGTTATTTATTCTTTCTGTGCGGCCTGGTACCAAACAACTCATGGACTGGCACCAGTCCCCGGCTCGGGGGTTGGGAACTGCTGATCTAAGGTATTTCAATAGACTGGTAATAGAAATGTGAATTAATTTGATTCTAACAGAAATTGAAACAAAAACTTTTAGATACATTAGAAGTTTTATTCAGATTAACTAACTTAATTGAATCTGCCAATCATTGTTTCCTAACATTTTTTATTTCTTAGTTTTGCTTTGTTTTTTTGCACAAATAGTAGTTTTTGTATGAACGCCTCCTGCAGATTTAGTCTTATAAATGCGGTTTGAGTCAAATACAGAGATATATACAGTAATAGTTTTGAGTTTTAGTCGACTAATCAATCTGTGGTTTAGTGTTTATATAAAAAGCTGGGAGAACTAAGAATGCACAGATACAATACTGGTAGAAATGGGACGAGACACAATTTTGACAAAAAGATACTAGGTACGAGATTAGGTCAACGAGATCTAAACAAAATGAGATTATCATGTAATCTATAATAAAAAAAAAAAAAAAAAGTTTGATCCCATTTGCAGTTTTGGTCTAACATTTTTGTATTTCACCTTTTTTTTTGGAATTGTAGACGTTCTTTTGTATGGAAGCCCTGAGCGGCAACAGTACATGACATGGCAACAGTACAAAAAATAATACAATCTTATGAAAAAAAAAAAAAAAAAAAAGTTTTTTTTTTTTAGCTGTTGCTGCAAAGAAAAAAAAAGACAATTGTTGGTGGAAAAAAAACTTTGGAGGCATATCATTTGGGCTATTTTCAGTTTGTTTTTTCTCCTCACTTGCTGCTCAAGGCTTCCATATTATTGAAACCACAGCATAATAATATCATAAGAGGTTTAACTCTCCAGCACTTAAGTCTTTTTTGTCCAATCTAAATGCAGAATAAACAGAAAAAAAAAAAAAATCTCACGAGATCATTTTTCTTATGTGTGCACAATCTTGTAGACATTTTATCTTGCGGAACGAGATCTTGTCCCATCCCTAGTTACTGGTATTAGATATCATATATGGATAAGTTATCAGCTTCCAAATATCGGATCAGTCGATATCTTAGTTGGACTCTATCAGAAAAGTTACACAGGGCACCTTAACAGCTACAGAACACATTTGCCTCAGTTAATTGATTTTAGTTTAAAGGAAATACATGTCTGCAGTGGTATCGGCTGATATCGAGTATTGGCAGATTTTTTTTTTTTTTTTTTATTACTGTGATATTAGAGAAAGTACAAACAGTAAAAGTAAAGACGTAAGAGGGTAAGGGCAGGAGGGAAAACAAAACAAAACAAAAACACAGAAGGAAAAGGAAAAAAAAAAAAAAAGATTATTCTTGTAATTAATGACATACAGTATATATTTTTCCTTTTTCTTTTCTCCTGTTCATTTCTTCCTTTCCCTGTTCTCTTTCCTTTCATTTGTTCCTTTGCCAATACAAAAAGAGAAGAAAGAATAAATAAATATATCAATAATTAACAGATAATGAAGTAGCGGAATCGGAACTCAAAAAGATGGATCGGCACAACAGAACGCGGCATTTTCCATCATTCAAAAACCAACACAAACTGATAAAAAAAGTGAAAAATCTGAAAATTGCTCAAGTTCTAATCGAATATTTAGTGTGACTGAGTGAAGGATTTGGTTTAAATCAGATAAACGACAGAGCTGAGACTAACCCTTAAGGTCAAGACGAGGAGTAAATCATTCTGACATCAGCTGACATGAGACGACTTTAAATCATGATTATCACTGATTTGAAAAGTTGGCTGTGGGCAGGTTCAAACCCAGGTTACGCTTTTAAAGAATACACACGTTTCCTGTATGAGAAAAAAAAAAATCCCAAGTCAAGTGAATCTTTGTGTGTGTGTGTATATGTGTGTGCGTGTGCGTGTGCACGTGTGTGTGTGTGTGTGTGTGTGTGTGTATGTACTCTGATTGGGTGTAGCATCATAATTTACAGTTTTACGACAACACACCCCTGACTTTGAGCAGACACACCCAGCGCATAGTTCCACCTGGACCCAAACAAGTCCAGCTCTGCCTCAATCTGTTATTATTTAAAATTACTGTAAGCTTCTGGAGCTTTTCGAGCATGAAGGAGAACGCATAGATTTAAAGTTTTTAAGTTTCGCGATCGTTTGCATTTTCTTCCGCCCATATTTTGAAAAAAACGTCTTCATAGTTTGAATAATTAGACATTTTTACAATAATGAGTAGAATTTTGTTCATGTTACGGACAGTGTTGATATAAAAGTAACGAATTACTGTACTGTGTTGCTTTTTGCTGTAACGCAGTAATGTGTATTTTACTGTGTACAAATGTGAGTAACACTCGTCACAATGCTTTTTTAACCTGGGTGGAAGTGGAGGGTTTTTCGTTTTTCTTCATACAAATTCACTAAAATTACGGCGATATCAGCAGCGGTGAAACGCCAGAGTTGCGCCCGTGTAGACCGTCGGGTAACCGTGGGCAAAAGGACCGACGCAGAACTCGACGCCTGATTGAGCTCGGGGTTCTCTCAGGGGCGGGCCTAGATTCCAAGTTCTAGACCAAGATTAGTTCTGGTTTAGACCTGGTTTAGTCCTAGTTTAGTCCTGGCTTAGTCCTGGCTTAGTCCTGGCTTAGTCCTGGCTTAGTCCTGGCTTAGTCCTGGCTTAGTCCTGGCTTAGTCCTGGCTTAGTCCTAGTTTACTCCTAGTTTAGACTTGGTTTAGACTTGGTTCAGTCCTGGTTCAGTCCTGGTTCAGCTCTGGTTCAGCTCTGGTTTAGACCTGGTTTAGACCTGGTTTAGACCTGGTTTAGACCTGGTTTAGTACTTGGTTCGGTCCGGGTTCAGTTTTGGTTCAGCTCTGGTTCAGTTTTGGTTCAGTCCTGGTTCAGTCCTGGTTTAGTCCTGGTTTAGTCCTGGTTCAGTCCTGGTTCAGTCCTGGTTCAGTCCTGGTTCAGTCCTGGTTTAGTCCTGGTTCAGTCCTGGTTCAGTCCTGGTTCAGTCCTGGTTCAGCTCTGGTTTAGACCTGGTTTAGTACTCGGTTCAGTCTGGGTTCAGCTTTGGTTCAGTTTTGGTTTAGTCCTGGTTCAGTCCATATACGGCGTAAAAGTTCAGCGTCTTCACAGTTATTTTGGTGAGAGTAACTTAAAGTAATGCAATATTAATGTAATGTTTTACATTTTAAATGCAGTTATACTGTAATGAAACAAATTACTTTGAAATGGCAGTAACAAATCATAAATAACACATTACAGTTTTAAAGTCACTTGCCCAACAGTAGTTAAAGCATATACAAATCAAAAACTTCCATTTGTCTTGTATTTTCACTCACAAATGCTGCTCAATGGCACAATGTCAGTACGCAGACGCTGGAGTGGGGATTGAGCAGTTTCGGGCTGAGTCACCTCCAGTGTTTGTGTACACTGTGACTGGTGTGTGAATGAATGAGTGAGTGTGTGAATTGGTGAGTGGTTCCTTCATGTAAAGCGCTTCGAGTGACTAGAAAAGTACAATCATAAACGATAAACGTTTTGCGCCTTCATTAAAATTATTATTAGTTTGAACTAGAGGTGTAACAATAACCAAAATATTGTGATATCGTATTGTCAAAAGTCTCAATAATATTGTGGGCTGTCACAATATATTGAATCACAAGTTTCTTTGCTTAAATTCATTGTTATGGTGCAGCAAAAGCTAAAAAACAGAGGGAACTACATAGACCATGAGCCTTTGCTCCATTTTGGTGCAAACTACAAGAAGAAATAACAGTTCTAACACTTTTCACTTTTTTTTTTTTTTTCATGCGCTGGACAAAGGAGGAGATAAAGACCACAGATGTTAAGACACGAAAGCTCCTGACCATGCATGGAGGGTTCCACCCAAATCCAGCACCTTGAGACTGTACACAGGCCGGAATGAAGGAGGCCGAGGACTAGTGAGTGTGGGAACCACTGTCCAGGATGAAACATCCAAGCTCCTTAAGTACATCAAAGACAAGGCCCCGACAGATGAGGTGCTCAGAGAATGTCTCAGACAGTGGGGTCCAGAGGAAGAGGAGCTGGTGGGACCATCATGGCAGGACAAACCCCTACATGAACCACTGGAACATAACTGAAGTGGCTGATATCAAGAAATCCCACCAATGTCTTGAGAGGGTCTGAAGGACACACAGAGGCACTGATCCTGGCTGCTCAGGAGCAGAGCCTGAGCACTCGAACTATAGAGGCCCAGATCTACCACACCAGACAAGACCCAGGATGTAGGCTGTACAAAGTTCCCATAATAAAATTCATAATAATAATAATAAAAAAAAAAGAAGATAATAATAATAATGTGGCCATAGGCTTATCTCAACTGTTTGAATCGACCTT